GTATTTTTGCTTAGTGTTGCACCTAAAAGTAGTATTATTAATTAAAAAACCATACGGTACGTGTTTCAAATTTAGATGTACTTAATAGTAATAATAATAGGATATTACTGAAGTTCATGTAACACTAGAATAACATTAATCACATTATAACTTTCACTTGTTCTATGGTTTATAAATCCGTTAAAAATAGTTTAATTTCGACGTGTAGCATTCAATTCACAGTAACAGTAAATTCATTAAATATTAGAATATCACGTTTCAATCAACCACTATTACTTATTGTGTAATTTTCACCATTGGTATTATACTTTTTAAAAAATGTAAAATTCCATACTAAAACTGGCAAGTATAGAGATAGTATAGCGGAATCCAACAGCCTTATACGGTTTTTCATAATATGAAGATTGTCTTCTGTGAAGTGTCTTGAGCATAGCACACTATTTTTGGTGGGCAACCATTGGTCCCCTCGACATGTAGCGTCGATCCACATTTTTTCCTTTCGGGGCATTTAGGAAACCTATAACATATAGGTACCATAATTAAACGCCACTATTTGTATAAAATAATGACTACAAAAGAAAAGTAAACGATGACCAAACAAACTTATAAATCACAACACTATCGATACACGTGCTGTAGTTAGACAAAGACAAATATTTTAATTTACGTAATGAGTGAAAGGGACATATTAAAAAAGACATTAAGGGGTGCTCAAATGATATCACTTTGCAACATTTAATATCCAGTGTAAGTTGAACTCCGGTCCATTTTAAATAGGTTAACGTGATAAGAATAAAATTTACTTATCGATGAAATATTAATATACCATCTTTTTGATAACTGGATGTCTTAGCTGACTTGCCACACCATTTCACTGCATAGGAAGCCATTTGTAATGTATTTTGGATACCAAAATTATTTTTAAATTTTCAAAAACTCGGACGTGTGCCTACGGGTCACAAACTTGGTCGACAATGACATCGTGATTCTTAGCGTCACTTCATATGCTAGCTACAGCAAGTATGTGTTGCGCGCGTTTGTGGCCCTGTATGTGGAATCTATTAGGAGGTAATCTGTGAGTTGCAGGCTTAGAAATGTTTGGAGACCACCGTCATCCGATCACGTAGTCTGTTCAAATAACATAGGTATGAGGCTTACTTAAAAAGATCGAAACACCTGGAAAATTAAAAAAAGCACGACCTGAAACAGTTTCTGTTCATAAAACCAAGTACCACTTCAAATATGTAAGCTATAGTGTTCTTAGTTTTTTATAGTTTTTTTTTTATACTCTAAGCGCTTGATTGTCTACTATTTCTAAACTATGTATATACTATAGTAGTCTATTGGGTGTGCTATAATAATCATTAGATAATGATACTTTGTTTAATATCTGTTAATCTCTATTATTGTTATCTTTATTTATCATCTGTTAGTATTTGTGTACCTTCATAATCATAATATACCTACATATTTATTTTGTTGAGATGATGTTTCATAGCTATGCTAGGTGGCGCTGTAATTAGTTATTACTAAATTGTATATTTATAAACCAACCAACTGTCTGCGTAGTTGGTCTAGTGGTTGTAATTGTAAGACTGCTGACCATGAGGTCCTGGGTTCTAATCTCGGGTCGAGTCAAAAAATTATTGAGTTTTTCCGTCAACAAATTTTCAGTAGCTGCCGGAGTAAGGAAGTTGGCGGTGCCTCGGAAAGCACGTTATGCCGTTGGTTCTGCGCCTGATCTTTCTCCGGTCGTGTCGGTTTACCGTCCCATCGGATTATGAGAGTGAGGCAATAGAGAGTGCACCTGTGCTTGCGCATATACACTTGGGCACTATAATCCTGTTCTGCACAGACGATCTGGAGAACAAAATTTATCAACCAAAATGGCTTAGCGATACAAATAAATAAAATTGAAGTGTCCGTGAAAGGTATATTTTTGTAATGTCAAAATAATTTTTACTGAATGTATATGAAAGTGTATGTGGTGCTTATAACAAAAAAAAAAAAAAAACAATTTTTAAATTTTAGTCCGTCGGTCTGTCTGTTTGTTTCTGCTAATCCCCGAAATGGCTGGGCAGATTTTGACATAACTTTCACTGACAGATAGCTATGTTATAAGTAGTAACTTAGGCAGTACTCTTGAAGGAGTAACTTAGACTACTCTCCAGGAAGTCTTTGTCCATCATTGGGGATTTATAGGCTGTAATGTAAAAATAATGGTAATAGATGGCAAAAAAATCGCAATATTACGAGTTTTTAATAATTTTATATTTACACGGTTAAAGTCCATAGTGAATTTGGTGTGAATGTGATACTCAACTCGCCATCTACCGGAGAAGACCAAAGTCTGCCGTGCCAGCTAGTAAACATATAAAATTTTCATTCTATACAAATCACAGTATACGTAAACAGTCTTCTTTCGACGGGTAAAATAATTGTAAACAGCACACAAAATTATTTTAGCAAAGTGACGTCTCTTTTACAATCATCATCATCATCATCATCATCATCATTACTGCCCTTCGCAAATCCACTGCTGAACATAGGCCTCTGCAAGGAATACCACAAAGTACGATCCTGAGCCAACTGCATTCACCACCTTCCTGCATGTTTTATCAAGGTCGTCATTCCATATAGTGTGGGAACACCCTACATTCCGTCTGCCGGTATGAGGTTGCCACTCGAGAAAAATGTATAATGATAATTTGCTGTAATTACTACGCTTTGAAATGACAGTACTGTCTGGTTCTGTAACATCTTAGATGATTCAAGCCGCTGCTTCACCTCTGGTTCTTTTCTTCTGATTATTTATTTACGACTGTCCTTAAAATATTTCTCGCATTTTCCATAGTCATCTCATATAATACCTACGTATGGGGGGGGAGGAAAGGTATGGTTTCTACTAAGGCACTCGACACGATTTGTTTGTGTTTTTTTTTACTTACGCAAATAGGAATCTTATCTTTAGAATTATAGATAGCATAATATTTGACAGATAACATAGTGTTATTATTAATAATTTTTTAAATTAGAGCTATAGTATAGATCTATACTATAGATATTCAAATATTTTTATTGCATTATATATTCGATAATATTATCGCCTTATTATGGAAATTTCTGTTAATAAAAATCACGTTTGACATTTACTTCTAGTTGATGATCAATAGGATCATCGCAAAATAGCTCGCAATAAATGGAAAATTGTAAGGGCATTATTAAGAAAATATTTACGGATTCAATGTTTTCACTGAATACTAGCGATAATAGCAGTTTAATGCTGCTGCGTTGAGTATGGTGAGTGTAGAGAACCCGAGACCCGTTTTACTGTATTCCATCTTAGTCCTCACGGGTGACAATGCATCTGCATTTTAGTTCGTAATCGAGGATAGATGTTGATGCCTTGGGCTAAACCACTTACCACAGATGGTGTGTGCTAATATGTTACTTTTATCTTATAAAAAAATCATACGGTGGAATGATAGTAAGTGGGAATGAAAAATATGAGCACAGATGTGTTGTTACTCTAGGCTAGATTTTCTAGGACGTCCTGCATTTGCACATAATTTGAATGCCCTAGAATCCCGAAAATCATAGAACACTGATCATCTTATTATAATAATTATAAAAAAAGGTTCAGTGTCCGAAATACAACATTAATAACTGTTGAAAAGTTTTTTAAAATTGGTTTTACATTATTATTATAACTTAAATTAAAAGTTTTAAAAAACCCCGAAACAAAAAAAGCTGATGAACCGATTTCGATAAAACATGTCTTGGGACCACTGCTAGAAAATCTGGTTTTAAATAAATAAATAAAAAAACGAGTGTGCTTATGACCACACGACTGAAGTAAAACTTCTTTGTTAAATATGTAAATTTAGTATCGGCTTCCTTAAATTATTATTATTTACCCGAAAATTCATTTTTCAACATGAACTTTAAATTGAATTTATAATTTTATTCACTTTAAGCGTAGAATATTATAATGTATTGATCAAAATATTAATTCATAAAATTGTTCAAAACAAAATAAAATTACGAAAAACAACTGGCTATGAGAGAAAGAGAGAAAGAAAATGTGCGCGCGCACTGCTCCCTCTTGCTTATATCCCCCACTCAACTTCCGTTCACTTCACCCGATCACACTTTTCGTAACGCTTTCGTCACGTGTTCGCCAGCATACTCCCCAAGTCAAGCGTGCGTAAAGAGTTTTCTTCCGCATAAGACCTCTCTGTGGAATAGTTTACCACCGGCGATTTTTCCGAACCGATACGACCTGAGGACCTTCAAGAAAAGAGCTTACTCCTTTCTAAAGGGCCGGCAACGCACCTGCAATTCCCTTGGTGTTGCAGTTGATCATGGGCGGCGGTAGTCACTTAACATCGGGTGAGCCGCATGCTCGTTTGCCCCCTCTTCTATAAAATCAAAAAAACACAGTCCACCTGATGATAAGTGGATACTGTGGCCCATAGACATTTAACCTCGAATAAGGATCAAAATGCAGATGCGTTGTCACCCGTGAGGACTAATATGGAATGCCTCGATTCCAGTAAAACCGGTCTCCGGTTCTCTACACTCACCATACGAAACACAGCGGCATAAAGCTGCTGCTATTTTACGCTGGTATTCTGTGAGAGCGTGGTCCTTCCCCGGTCGAGCCGATCCATTCATGCTACAACCATAATATGGCTCCAGCGTGGCTCTACCGCGTATAAAATGGTAGTAACTGTAGCACTTTAGCCTCCTATGAGGAGGCTATCTATGGGAGAAACATACGTTCTCTAGTGAACATCGGTAGTCAAAATCGGTTTACAATTGAAGATATCGCATTACACACATACACAAAAACATACAGTCCAATTGAAAGTCCTCACCTCTATTTTGAAGTTTGCTAGTTATAAGCAGCACAAGTTGTTATTCTTCTTTTGGGTTACGCATTAAAATACCTTCAACTTTTTCTTTTCTCAAATACTAACTTTATGTTTTGTTTCCAGAAAAAAGAGGAAAGATGGTGGAACACGTTGATGCAAGTGGCCGTCCCATTTTTCATAGCTGGCTGCGGCACAATAGGAGCTGGTTTAGTTCTTGGAAGCGTAAGGGTACGTACGGATTTTGTTGTTATATGTATGGATAAGTTATTATGGAAGATGGTCATACACAGGCCACATGATGTGGTGCGAATGCGAATTATCTCCAATTGTTTCTGTTGTTGGTCCAAATGCGGATGCGTTGTCACCCTTGAGGAACTAGACTTAGATGGAATGCGACATTACCAGTAAAAAAGTTCTCCAGTTCTCTAAGCAAAAAACATAAATTCGTCGTTTTTTAAATATCTAAATAACTATAATGCCATTTGTTGTGTTTCGATACAAATACTAAAGAAAAAAATTGTTTTGGTCAGATTTTGTTTCCTGGAAAAAGCATTTTATTGACTTGTGTGTCGACTATTCTTTTATTATTACAATAAATCCTTTGATAAGTTCGGGTGTCGTTATCTTAATTCCATTCTGATATTTATTACTAATGGTACACCAATGATATTATTTTATCCATACATCTTAAATATCAGTAAGCATTTCATAATTTTTTCAGTATCTTTATTATTAGTTTTTTAAAAACTTTATCAGTAATAGATACATATTTATTCGTATTATATAGAAATAACTATAAGCTAATTAAAACCTGTTTGACAAGAATATTAGGAATTCGACGTGGTCTATACATCTTATTTTTTTATTATCTCTGTTTTTTTCCATCAAGGATACGTTATTTAAAAAGGCTTTTATCCGACAAGGATATGTCAACCTTATCGTACCATACCTTGTTCGTGTAACAAATATAATAATGAAATTCAGAAAGGGGGACTCAATGTGAGTGGGATTTTATCACGTTTATTTTATTTTATTTTTAATTCCCGACGTTTAGGGTGCTTTCCAGGACCCATGGTGTCACGGGGGACTGAGGTGTGTGACGTCCCGATGTCAGTGTTAACCCGGAGTACCTTCAGCTTTTTGATGATTGTTTTTGGTCCGATCTGCGCAGAATGAACTTACTGTGTTTTGAAGCCTTGCAGTTGTGTGTTTGGGATTAGTTTTAATTTTATTATTTATATTGTCCCAAGCAGGTGCTTGCAAGACAGGATGTTTTTTAATTTCAATAGTCTCACGTATCATCCTTGGTAGGATTCGGTGTTCTTTCGCGAGGATTTGTGGTCTATTAAATCTGATGTAATTGATGGGGCCGTCTAGGATTTGTGATCATTTGATATTTGAAACATCGGGTATTAAAAATAAAATAAATTAAACGCGATCAAATCCGTAAAAGTAGTTTTAATCAATGTGTAGTGTTCGCGTATATAAGAAATTATTATAAATATAGAAATTAATGACTTTGCCACCTCTAAATGTGGCTCCGCAAGTATGTGTACTTAAAATCCAGTCTATTTCATCCTCTTAACGTGTTGATGTAGAACTGAGTCTTTAACGTAGTGAAAGGATTACACTATCAGTTCAGCGGTAGATTTACTTGCAGATCGCCCGGGGTAAGCCGGTATAGTTAGGCAATATTTTGCTTATTGCATACTTATTAATGTATATGACCAAAATATATTTTAAAACATTTTACGCTTGGATTTATTTAACTTTTTTATGTCAAAATATTATAGCCTTAATTAAAAATATATTATTTTAGCGTTTTACATGCATCCGTATTATTTAGGATTCCGGGTTGATATTGTACTGTGAAATTTACAGCGAGCACTTAAATCCCTGAACTCTCACGGCTAAATTGCGTGACCTAATTCCTATCTCTCTCGCTTCCACCATCGTAGTCAACATAGCACGCATTTTAATAAAACGGTTACCTCCACCCTTGCAGTAACAATAACAATGCCCTTTTGAACAATTAATTCTAGAACATACAAAATACCTGTTCCGCACGGGATTCGAACTCGCGGCTCTCAGCGGCGCAACTAAGCCATTGCGCCACGGGACCGTCATCACTAGCTTGTGGTAGATAAAAAAGATGAGAAAGAAAGAAGTTAATTAAAAATATGCTTGAGTTACAGCCTGAGCCTATTTGGTGAATATAGCAGACACTCATCACTTATAAAACGTACCTAATAGCTATCGTGTTCTTGAATTTTAAAGAAATTTTGTGATGTCATCATCTCACTAACAGATTATGGTTATTAAACAATTTTTATAACATTATCATCATCCATAAATAACTTAACGTGGTAGAGAATGAATGAGTTGACTCGACCGGGGAAACACCACGCTCTAAAAGAATACCAACGTGAAATAGCAGCTTAAATGTCTAAATTCTAACTAACTGTCGAAATTCGACAGTAATTGATGTTTGTATATTAAGCAAGCTATATTTCACTTTCAACTCCCAATATATAAATGTATTGTTTTAAACTTTTAACTGCACATTATTGTAATTAAACACAGGTATTTATTATACAAAATATAAAATAAACGTTTTTTTTTTGCTTTGTCATACATTCCATAGACTATTACAAAAAGAAATTCTAATGTTCATTTTTCTCACACATAATTCACAGCTCATTCAGTCAATGATTGGTAGTAATTAATTTATTGGAAACATTTCAAAATTCTTGGGTGACAATCTCTACTCTGTGTCACTGTCTGACCACAGAATAGATGTGTTTGACAATGAGGGTGACTTTTTTTGTAATATTTGACAGATTTCATAGCAAGAAAGTTATTTGTTCGAATAATGTTAATGTTTCTTTCTGTGCTATTTGTTATATGTTATATTAATTAGATTAAAAATAAATAAACAAAACCATAGATATTCATAAAAGTAGAAAAATTAAAATAAAAGAGTTAAAAATGTCCAAAGAAATAAAGAGCAAACCACTGAGGCGTTGTTTTGTTTATTAATAATAATAGTCTTGAAAGCTGGGTGTGGCAGAAGAAGCACGAAAGTAGAAAAAATGCTGTAGAAATGCAGTCTTCAAGGAGTATGCTAGGGTTGAATCTGAATGACAGGGTGAGAAATTGGGTGATAAGAGATAAATGTGGTATGCAAGATGATGTTGTGACCAGGATTAAGAAAGGAATGCTTCGGTGGTTTGGTCATGTAGAAAGAATGAATGAGGAAAGAGTGACAAAGCAAATTTATATGGCAGATGTGAACGGCAGAGTCGGGAAGGGACGCCCTAGAAGAAAGTTTATCTATCTAATTGGAGATATTTTGAAAATGGGCCACGTTAGAAGTACCCTTAACCGACATGTATGCGTAGATATATGGATGTAAAGGAGGCGAAAAAAGGTATGTCAGGATCGTGCCAAATGGAAGTCCGTAGTCTCTGCCTACCCCTCTGGGTGACAGGCGTGAGTGTTTATGTATGTATGTATGTATTCTAGAAAGTGATATACTTTTATTTAAAACTTATTTCTTAATCAAATGACATTGTGTAACAAAAAACTTCATCTCAGTGTAAACTAGCGACATCTGGTGAGCGGAAAGTTTTAACCCTTATTGACCTTGACACTATGAACGTGAAAAATGAATGCTTTATTTTATTTTATTTAATGTATTTGTAACTTATTATATTCTATAAAAAAATTACTTTGTGCACACACAAACGTTAGCTCACACTCCTCCGGTGCGCAATAATTCTTTAGAAAGGGGTCCAAAGTTTTCCCTTAACTCCCGGATGATCTATATTCTTTTTTCTTTTTTACCATCTGGAAAAATAGGGTACATGTGAATGGAGTAGACACCTATGGCACTGATATTTTACAAAAAATAAAAACAAAACATTTTGAATTAAATGTATACTTAAAATAAATAAAATTTATCGAAATTCAAATCATATCCACCCTAGCCTGTGACCCTGCGAAGTGACAAGGTCAAAGATGCCTACTAAATTTATTATTGTTTTATTGCCGTTCGTAAAATGGGGTGGATATCATTTAAACTTCGATAGATGTTAATTTATTTATTTCTTTTATTTATTCAAAACTTTCGTTTTTATTTTTTGTAAAATATCAGTGCCACAGGCTGCTACTCCGTTCACATCATCACGCTATTTTTTCCAGACTATAAAAAAGGTCATTCTGTATAGACAAGCGATGTGTCAAATTTCTAATTATTGATTTATAATGATTTATGTAATAGGCTGTAGGCACCATGAGACTTAAGACTTTTGCCGTTTTTATAATCTCGCTAAATAAGTAAACCGCTACATAATATTTACTTTTTGATTTTAGTTACTTTTTGATTTCAGAACTGGGAGGTGTTCATGAACGTGTCTGCAATATTCGTGCTGGTGCCGTCCTTGTCTGGTTTAAAGGGTATGTTACTTAGGATTTAATCAAAACTCACATAGTTCTTATTTTAACTGGTTCCTTTCCGGTCGCGTTGGATTATTGTCCTACTCAACTACGAGTATAGCAATAGAAAAGACTACTTGCATGTTTACTTACTACTTGTATGTTTGAACACACTTTCTTCACAGATGGCAAGCTGCCTTGTGGCTCAAATTCAAATTGGTTCTGAACCCTCAGCCCTAGCTCATTGTCTTGAGATCAAGGGACAATCGCCTCACGTTCAGGCTTAGATATTATAAACTAGTGAACGAGGTGACTTTGTTGATGAAAACAGCAGCAATATTATAGTCGAATGCTTTGAAACTTTTCCGTGTCGTTTATTGTTTGGTTAGTTCAGGTTATGTTATGGATTATCAGGTTTTTTTTAGCTTAGTGGCTGCAGAAATTTCTCACTTTCAATCGTGAGAAATTTCTTAGTATATATCTATTTGCATTCAAATCATTCTGCCGATACCACTTAAATAATTAATTTCTAAAAAGTTCTTACTCTTGAAACATGCTCTGTGTTAAAGAAAGTCATCGAAAGTTTTCTACAGTATTGAAGGTGTAGTTATGTAAATCTACTTAACAGACCGGGTTTATCTCTCTTACTAGTATAAAAAATATTATTGGTTTTTGAGTGTAATAAGCTCGTCTTAAAACTCACGAAAGCTTTTAAATACTTTTGTTTATAAAATAAGCGTGGCAAACGAGCGCACAGTTCACCTGATGGTAAGTCGGTGCTATGTGTTTGTGTGTGTGTGTGTGTTTGTGCGTGCATCAAAATATCTGAGAAACTTAAAATATTTTAAGGACATGTCTGACTCAACGCATATTACGGCTAGGTGACCGAAACCTTTTTAAAACCGACTCCTAAAAGATGGAGGTATTCAATTCTACTGTATGTTTTTTATGTGTGTGACCTAAGAACTTTTTTCTGGGTGAACCAATTTTGATGATTCTTTTTTATCTGAAAGATGGTGCTTTCCGTGTAGTACCATGTAAATTTTATTCAAGATCTGACCATTAGTTTTTGAGTATTCACTTCGATTACATTGATGATGTTCTCATTTTATATAAAGTACCTGGATGACGGAGCTTTGTTCGCTACTTTTTTGGAAATTTTGATGAATAATATTTTTTGATCTTATCGACATAATAGAAAAAACTGAACTGTTTATTTGAATAAAATCATGAGTGCAATTAGTTTAATTTAAATTTTCGTGTTTTCTAAAAAATACTAAAAAAAAGGGCTTAAGATAATAGATTTTCTCACAAAAGAAGGGAACTTGAAAAAAGAAGACCGAAGACAGGACTTGAACCAGGGTACTAAGAATTCGGGTCCGCTCCGAGATTCCGATTATATATATACTAGCTTGCCAGGTAGACGTTGTTCTGCCCTTTTCGACGACCCTTTGTCATGTCCTATTAAAAATCCTTAAATTAGCAAAAACAATTGTGGGTCACTCATGGGCAAAAAATACTATCCTATGTCTCAAGTTGGACCAAACTTCACACGGTGTGCAATTAAGATATACAAGAATTGCTCATTTAAAGGTGTAGGATTGAAGTGGTTGTACAACATTTTGAATTTTACCAATTGTTGTAAAACAGTTTAAAATGTTGCACTAACTGGTATATATGGTTGAAATCTTTAATACTACGTTACAGGGCTGGGATTCGTATCACAACCGAAGCTAAGATTTCAAATAATTAAATACGTACTGTTTGTATTCGTGTTTAAAATAAAATGAGAAAAAAATCATGCATCTAATAAAAGTATTTTTACTTACTTACTTACTTACTTATCTTCACGCACAATCCCTAACGGGGTAGCCAGAGAGAACAGATCGCCAAGTGTCACGATCCTTACATACCTCTTTCGCTTCCTTCAGGTTCATTAACTTCTTCATACATGCACGTCTAGGTATCCGAGTACTCTTGACCCTCCCCTCTTCGAGCAATTTGCTCACATGGTCTTCGAAAGTTAGTCTCGGTCTACCTCGACACCTTTTAATATTTACTTTCGCTCTATATATTTTCTTCACCATTCGGTCTTCACTCATTCGTTCAACGTGCCCAAACCATTGGAGTACGCCCCTATCAATTTTTGTGATAAGGTCATCTTTCAATCCTGCCATATTGCGAATCTCTTCGTTTCGCTTTCGGTCGGCTAAGGTAACGCCACACATTTTACGAAGAGATCGCATCTCCACTGCATTCAACTTGCTTTTATGATTCTTCTGGCATACCCAGGTTTCTCTGCCATATAACAAAGTCGGTACCAACACTGCATTATGTATTGCAAGGCGTGCACTCTTCACCACGCCTTGCCTTTTTACTAATGCATTCAGGGCGACTTTTTTTCCGGCAGAGACACGCTTATCCACATCTAAATCACATCTTCCATCCCGGCTGAAAGCACTCCCCAAGTATACAATTTCATTTACCTGTTCTAGACATAAGTAAAGGTATTTTTGTTTATCGAAAAGGGATTTGTTAGTATGATACTGTCAGGGTGCTCGTGATATTAACTAATCATACCATAATCTCATCATACCATAATCTTTTGACTCGAAAGTTTTTATTTATGAGTTTGTTAGAGTAACAAGCGTAACAAGCACCATTTCACCTGATAGTAAATATATGCTGCTGATAGTAAATGAAGGTCCAAATGTTTTATCACCCCTATGGACTACGACGGTATGACTCGAAACAAGTAAAAAGTCTGGTTTTTGTCAATGACCATAAGTAACCCGGTATTCTGTGAGAGCACAGTTCATTCTCGGTACAGCCAAGTTGTAACGATAATAGAACTGCAGCTTAGATGATTTTCAATTTGTTATTGTTTCTTGTCAATGCCGTATTTGTTACAAAGTGGTATACAGTAATTTTTTTTTACTAGAATGTGGTTTGTTCGTAAATTATATACGGTATGAAAACGTACGTTTTGCGATTGGAATCTGTCGTATAAAGTATGTAATTTATGTACGGATAATTGCTTCGTGTTGTTATGGAAGGCATGACGATCTAATACGTGTATCAAAGGAAACGTTCCACAGTTTTAAGCGGTGCGTTAGGTCGGGGCTACACACATAATTTTTATTTTCATAACCTCTACTTTACTATACTGTCACTAGGTTATAGTTTAGTAGAGGTTCTCGAGTGGCCTCATACCGGCAAGCGAACTGTATGGTGGGTCCCACAAGATCGATGGATGCAAGTTTGGGGGGCTTATGTATAGCAGCGGACGTGTGATGGGATGTAATAATGATGATGATCATAGTGACAAACAAGATTGTGATTCAACGGTGGTAACTGCCACTGCCATCTGCAACCCATACTTCTACAAATAACTTCCAAAAAAAAATCCAAAAAAACCTGTAGCAATTTGTGTGAACCTTAAGATTATATGAAAAGTCTTCTATATTGTTACTATATTGACTCTGACCTTTTAATTCGGAATAACAAAAACTAGAACTGTTCTGAAATAGGTGATTGAGGGCTACTCAGCTGAATTCTTATGGAGGATGAAGGTATACAAGCCTGCAAGCTATTTGATAACATTTTTATTTTATTGCGTTTTTATGGCAAGCAAAATTTTTAAGATTTGCAATCTTAGCCAAGGATTACCCAATCACTGATTTAAAAATAAAAAATCATCATCTAGTGGGCGTCGTCGACATAGGAAAATGAAACAGCAGCATCTTGTTGTCATAAAATAAAAAAAAAATATGTTTGCGAACTCAACTGCCAAGCCTGTCAAAAATGACAGTCATCCCCCCAATGATGTGGTCTACGGTGGAGGCCTTCATTCAGCAGTAAACTTTTAGTAGGCTGAACTTACGAATGAATGACACCTGTGAATACTAGGTTTTATAAAATTGCGTTTAATATCACAGAAAATACCAAGGCGTATAGTTGAGTTGAGTGCGCCATTCATAATTGCTCAACATGTGTTAATTTTTTTACCACTTCGTTCTGTAATATCTAGTTCTTTATAGTAATAATTCAACTCGTTGAGCACAATTATTATGATTTTCCACTGTCATTAAGACCGTAAACAGTCGACTATTGGACGTGTATTTTTTAAGCAACAGTGCCATTATGTAACTTATGGCATTTTAGATGGCTTCATAGTTTGCTTGTTATTTATATATTTATTTAAACTTTATTCGTATCATCTATGGTAAGGAAACAAAACACATTTATTTTCTGATAGTCTACTTCTTTCGTTGTTTAGTGTTGATTTATCAATATCAATCACAAGCCGAGTGTCTTTTTCGTTACAAAATGCTATCACAATGGAATAACATAACATAGCGGAGCATTTCCCACCGGTAACAACTTCATGTTAATATAATAATAACTTAATGGTAACAACTTCATGTAACAACTTCATGTTAAAAATGCATTTTATTTTAAGTAACAAAATGTTTTTTGATATGACACATTTTCTTGATAATGAAGGCTATTTTATTATAAAAATTGCCTATATTATCTATTGCCATAGACAAAATACAGAAAAATATTTAAAAACGTTTCGTTTTTGCTATAAGTTTCATTAGCTTTCGTTTTTCAGTTTAAAAAAATGTTTTTATGATTGTCCCATGTATAACAGAAATAAAAACCATTTATTTATGCTTATAATTTATCGTTTTATTCCCTACATTTTTTTTAAATATTTATTGATTATAGAGGGTTTGATCTACTAGATCAAATCGCCCTCATAGATACACAATCGAACACATAATCAGACAATGATACATTTATGTAAACAATAATAAAAGATTACCTGTTCGTGTAATTGACACTGGTACATTTACACAATTAAACGACAGAAACGTCAAATATCAAAACGAAGCATACTACAATATCCATTAGAGTTACACAATCAAACAGCAGACCAAAAACAATGAATGTGGGTTTTGTACAAATATTTGCTCCAACTACAATTCATGCCTTTAGTCTTTAGCCAGGTTTACAAAATAAAACAATGTTAATATTTGATTCAAATCACAATATCTTGAACAGTGAAACGTTAAACGTTTAGCCTGGTACAAAAGCTAAATGTTTGGCGTTCCTTTACAGTCCTCCGCGATGCGAATATAAACGGAAGTTACTAATATGAATAGTACCCACCAATACCATGAAACGTACCCATAACAAATTACGAAACATTGATTCATTTGATTAAAACTATATCCGGAAAACGCCTGTAAACTCTTGGGTAATAAAGGTGAAAATCATTTACACTCTAGTATTGCTTGATGAGAACTCATTGCGCGATATTTAACCACACCCGCAGCGGTACTGGGATCGTGAATATAAAAATGTGGGTTGAAGATTATTACACACTGGCTGTGGCACTGTGGGCGTAAACCTCGGGGGGCGCGGACGCTGGCCTGCCACGACCTGGAACTTTACTTGTAATCGATCTTTCGGAAATAACCACCCTTGTTCCTGCCCGACTTGCAATCATCGTGCACCAAGTTTGCGGCCATTGCTGTCTCCGCGGTGGGCGGATCTACATAATACAGCAGTATCGTAAGATTTAAAACACCGTCGTTTTCGTGTACTGCTGCAAGCGTGTATAAATATCGCTCCATGAGTTCTCAGCTTTCGAAGCAACATAATATTATGGTATAGAAGGGTCGAAACTCTGAATTCAGAATGTGAAATCATTTTATTGTTTTTACAAGTAGTGCAGTCGCGTTTTACTTTTTATTAAAAGTTCATTTGGTTTACCCCTTTGAGTTGACTAAGGACTATAAATAACGACTATTGGAATCTGCAATGTCGTCTAAATTTGAAATTCCATTGAAAACGTCGTCCCCTATTTTGCCACACTGATAGGTGGGTTTTTTCCCTATCTTTATATAGGACCATCTCTTAAATATAACCTATATATAAAAAAAGGAATAATCTAAAACGGTGTAAAATTGACTAAGATAGCGCATAACATGAATACAAAAACATTTTTAAAAATAAAAAAGCATGCAGTCGAATTATAAACTTCCTCATTTTTATAAAATGTGCTTAAAATGGAGGGAATGTCCCTATAAGATTGCAAATTGAGTAACTTTGTAACAACGTCGCCTCTACGATAGGTACTTGTATAGATAACACTATTGTATTGTTGCTGTAACTATGTTGAGGTTTTACATGTTATTGTTCGAGCACTTCAATATCACAAATGATTATGAAGTGTTGATTTTATTGATTAAAACTATTTTCACGGATTTTATCGCGTTTAATTTTAATTTTAATTATTTTTATTTCTAATTCCCGACGTTTCGGGTGCTTTCCAGCACCCATGGTCACGGAGGACTGAGGTGACTGACGTCCCGATATCATTGTTAAACCAGGACTACCTTCAGCTTTTTTAATTATTATTTATGGTCCGATCTATGCAAAATGAACTAACTATGTCCTGAGGTCTTGCAGTGGTATGCTTGGGTTTAGTTTTAATTTTATTGATTATAGGGTCCCAAGCAGGTGGTAGTACCCAGCCTCCTTCTCTATCGAAATTGGGATGTTTTTTAATTTCAATAGCCTCACGTATCATCCTTGGTAGGAATCGGTGTTCTTTCGCGAGGATTTGTGGTCTATCAAATCTGATGTAATGGTTGGGGCCGTCTAGGATATGATCACAAACTGCAGACTTCCCGGAACGTTGATACTTCACGTCAGCTATATGTTCTTTTACGCGGCGCTTTTACATAACGCGATAAAATCCGTAAAAGTAGTTTTAATCAATGTGTAGTGTTCGCGGAAATATAAGAAATCATTATTTTGATTTTATTTTTTATTAATTAATTATTTTTATCATAATATATAAAAATAAAATAGAAAATAGATATTTTATTTATAAATAACTATTTTATTTTTATTCAGTAGGTGTCGTAAGAGGCAACCGAGGGAAATGGAACAGGAAAGTAATTTAAAAAAAACTTTTGTTTCCAACCCACCAGCTAAGCAACCATGGCATATAAAACAAAAGACCCCTCTATGTTCAGCTGCGAACATAGATAGGCTAATAACCTTATGAAAGGGGGCCTAGCCCAGGAGTAGGACCTATTGTATAACTTTGTAACATATTGAATGAATGTTGCAGTTCAAGCAACACGCGAGTTGATAATATCAAGTATAACAAACGTGACTTACGCACTGTGTTTGTGAAAGTTTTGTCATCGATAAGTCCCATGTGTCAACTCGACAGCTTAACGTTATTTCATCACTATTACAACGTGTTAAGGTGCATATTGAAACAAGGTGTTGTAAACGTTTACAAATGTTCGCTCACTATCGTTTCCGATGTTGATATAAATATATTACAAATGGTCCAAAAATTAAAACGATATTTACAATTCAATTAGAAAACCCAACCTACTGTATTGTAGACGATAACTATACTGTTAACAAAAGAAATACATTTATGAATAAAAATAAACATGACCATGTTCTCGACGATAAAGGATTCACGAGGAAAGATATATTTTGAAGATATGTAAAGTCTATTAATACGCTTTGGGGGGTAACGCTATGGAGTTTTCCTTGCCGTAAAACCCTCTCAATACGATAGGAGGCATGTAACGTGTATTGTAGACTTTATAAACTTACATTTATAATTAGGGATGAGGTAGTTGATATTTTTATACCGTTACTATACAGTAAATTACTTACTTAATACAACGAAACTAAATGCCAAAGGTCAAAATGCAGGTAACCATGATTCTCGTCAGAATTACACCATTATACTGCAGATATCAGATCTAAAAAACCTGGGTCAGACATTTTAGAATAGGCCTAGGTGCTATCTATATTCTAAGCGTCTAGACGTGGTAGAGCCATGCTGCAGTTATATTAGTAGTATAGTTGTAGCACGAATGGGTCGGCTCGACCGGGGAAGGACCAAGCTCTCACAGAATACCAGCGTGAAATAGTAGCTTAATGCTGCTGTATTTCGTATGGTGAGTGTAGAGAACCGGAGACCCTTTTTACTGGAAACAAGGCATTCCATCTTAGTCCTCACGGGTGACAACGCATCTGCATTTTGATTCGTAATCGAGGATGGATGTAGATGTCTATGGGCCACAGCAACCACTTACCATCAGGTGGATTGTGTGCTCGTTTGTCACCCTATCCTATAAAAAAAGCGATATATAAGTTTTACCGAAAACCTACCGACATACCTATCGATGGTCACATTGACTCACATGATCACTTTGAAGAATTTACGTCATCAGCTATTTTGACGTCATGGCGTAGGGACAGGAGTATCCTTACTATCAGATGAAATGCATTTTCATTAGCCCTCTCTTTATTAAAAAGAAGCTGTGAGTTTTATGGTTTATTATAGAAGGAGGAACGATAAGTAAGGACATACTGAGATTCATACATTTCATTAAGAACCAAAATGCGTAAGTGTAACCGTTGTCACCCCCGACGATTGAGATGGAATACCTTGTTACCAGTAAAAACGATCTTCGGTTTTCTACATTCACCATACGAAACATGTAAGCTATTTTACCCTTATAATGTTGTTATATTACGCTGGTGTTCTTTGAAAATCTAGTCCTTTTTCAGTTAATCTAATTTATTCGTACTAAATCCATAGCACAAGGTTCATTTACACTCTACCGCGTAAAAGGTAGTTCTTCTCTTTGTTGAAGTTTACGATAATTCTGAAATTAAAATTGATGGCGTAATAGGCAGTAAATTGGTGCTGTTAGTTTTTAGTACAGTGCATAAAACTAAAGAATTCCTTGCGTCGCTAACACACCAAAGGATAGATTTACCATAATATATTTTAATACCGTCGTTATCATAATATATGTTAGTACGGATAATACAGTCACCTTAAGCTTTGACGCCCTAAAAAATCTGACTAAAATACAAAATCGTATACTTTAACTAATATATTAGGAAAAATAAAAAAAAACAAGCTTTAGCAATAATTAGGAACACTTCTAAATATCAACTTAAAAAAATAACTACACTACACAATACTAAAATCGACTAAAATATTTACTATAATGTCAACTGCCAAAGTGCCTTTTTGGCCCTTTATTATTTGATTTACTGATGAAGAGCTACCGTATCACAGATGCTTCTATGCAAACAAGGCTGTAGTTTGACCACATTAACGGGATGACTTATTACCCTCACGTACTTATAGCATTTAACTTATCTTTCATACTTTTCAGCCATCGCTCATACCACAAAATATGTCTAGATATACTTAAAAAATAATTTTCTCTCATTTCGTAGGTAACCTGGACATGTGCCTTGCGTCACGGCTATCAACGCAAGCTAATCTTGGCAATATGAAAACGCCGCGGGAGTTCATATCCATGGTCGTTGGAAATATATCACTAGTACAGGTAAAAAACTATCTGCGTTTTCCTTCGTAATGTAAATACAAACTTAGAAAAAAGGCTTATAACTTAGACATTACAAAAGATAACTTTCGTTAAGGACTCCAAGTAGGCTCAAAATGCTTGAGTAAGGAGTGGTTCACGAGGATTCAAATTCATGACTTAGATGCTTAGATGTTTCCAATAAGGAAAGAACTAGCAAGAATCTAGCGGTACTTTTTTTTTCAAAGATAAAAGACAGTTTATGATACTACTTATAAAACTTAGTTAAAAAACAGATGGAGGCGATCTCCTCATTCCCAGGGGTTATTACTTATTATCAAACATGTAGTCTATTATAATATGATAAGTTAGTTAAGTAAGGTTTCACTCCAGCTTTTGTTACTTCCCATAGACATGAAAGTTAATTCCGTCATCAATCATCATATTACAGCATGGTATGGTAACATTTAAGAAACCTAGGACATTTATATAATGCCGAAGCGCCAAATTACACGAAGGAGGAAATATCTCATACCTAGTGTTGAAAATTACTTTGGACGGCGTGTAAGGCAATCAATAACTCCTACTTTGTGTAATGAGGTGGCTGATATATATTATGACGAAAGCGTAACTAAGTCGCAGCTCAAATCCATCTTGAGGAAACATTATCTGTCGTTGTGTCCATAGTGGCGAATGTTTCTTTAAATATTTTTGTGTTAATTTAAGTATTTATAAGTACCAGATAGGTTGTTACTAAGGAGTGTGAAACGATAAACTGTTGCGTTGCCGACAAACTGGCTTACAGTTTGGTAAAATTTAAAATGTAAATAATGTGCACACTTTATAAGAATAGATTTAAAAAAGAAACTTCAAAATAGATACAAATTTTATCATTTTATTTTAGGTGCAAGCTATAGTGGCCGCGACGGTTGTATCGATGTTTGCAATAACGGTGAACGCCATCACAGACAGGGCGTTCAACGGAAGCTACGTGCTGCTCCTAATTGCCTCCGCAGTCTTCACCGCCACTACTACTTGCTTCGTATTAGGTGAGCTATACTTTTTTGAAGTAAAGGTGACAAACACAGTTCACCCGATGGAAAGTGAATGACGCCTACATCTGTCTTCGATTACGGGTCAAGTTGTATATGCACTGTCATCCCCGAGGACTTAGATGTTATATATATCTATGTCTATAATATATATGACCTCGTTATACTTAATAGGGTTTCAGGTTCTTGTACACACCATGTGAAACATGCAGCATTATGCGGCTATTTTACGTTGATATTCCTTTTTTTATAAGATAGGGTAATAAACGAGCACACAATCCACCTGATGGTAAGTGGTTGCTGTGGCCCATAGACATCTACATCTGTCCTCGATTACGAATCAAGATGGAGAAGCGTTATCACCCGTGAGACCTAGTTTAGTTTCCAGTAAAAAGGGTCTCCGGTTCTCTACACTCACCATACGAAGCACAGCAGCATTAAGCTACTATGTGACGCTGGTATTCTGTGAGAGCGTGGTCCCTCCCCGATCGAGCCGACCCATTCGTGCTGTACTACTAATATAACTGCAGCATATGGATCTTCCACGTAAAAAAATCTGCAAGTAGTCACCCACGAATGGTCTAGTGAGTGTAAAAAAATTAAGGCTTCTTTTATCATTGATAAGCATTCATATTCTGTTTTCTAATCAATTATAGATGTAGACGTTTGGTTATATTATAACACAACAATACTTTATGACAAAATAAAAGTAAGAAAACGATATCAAACACGGCATCTTTTTCGCTAATACAGGACGGCTCGCCTCTAATTGTGCTTAACATTGGTGACACAATGTGTCTAACATCAAATTTGTAACGATTAAGATGGAATTGTCACAACCTGTACTACTTTTTTCTATTTTTTGTTATATTTGAGGCAGCAGCAGGTAAGAGGATGACACCTACACAGGCGGACCCCTAGACATAGAAGAAGTCCTACCACCGTTTTGTAACTAGCAGTTAATTGTTTATGAGCTATCATTACAGCCTATCAAAAGTCCACCGTTGAACGTAGGTCTTCCCATTGATTGTCATATCATAGGCGTGCTATTTCCCATAGTCACCCTTGGCAGACGAGTTAGTAATCGCAATATTTTAAGTAATTTTTGGAAGATGCTGCTGACCTCCTGTTACTGCCTGTTTTTCCTCGATTGCAAACAAAGAAATATTAACGTATAAGTAATTTATATTTCCTTAATAAATTTTAGGCCCTGAATACACTTGTACGATAGGTGTATTCATACGTGTAAATGTCCATGGCGATTTCAAAACGGTATATGGCCGTTTTTTGATATCCTTTCTTAGATAATCCAACACCCCTTTTTGTCCTGCGGTTGTCGCAAGAAACGACAACAATGGGGCATGTCTGAAAGTTCTCTTGATTTACGACAGAAGGGAATTGCCATCTCTTTAACGTCAGGCGTAAAATACTCCAGCAGTGAACTGTTATGAGTAAATAAAGAAAGAAAAAAGAAAGTTTGGTCAATTTCACCATGCGACAGTTTGTAAAGAAACTTACGCTTTTCAGATTTCGTGATGGTGCTAGTGATATTTGGATCGCAGAAGTTCAAAGTGAATCCGGATAACGTGGCGACACCGCTAGCAGCGTCCATCGGAGATATTGTCAGCAACTCCGTACTTGCCGTTACGGCGCAGTATATGTACGAACAGATAAGTAAGTCGAGCAATTTTCAAAGTTAACCAAACATCATCAATAACATTACATCTCATTACAAGTGATCAGTGGATGTATATAGGCCTCCTCAAAAGAAGTCCACAAACACGATCCTGACCCTGAGCCACCTGAATCCATCGATTTCCTACAGCTTTTACCAGGTTGCCATTTGCAGGCCAACCTATACACTCCGCATACCGGTACAAGGTTTTTTTATGAAATAAGGGTGACAAACGAGCACACAGTTCACGCGATGGTAAGTGGATGGTGTGGCCCATAGACATCTATATTTATCCTCGATTTTAAGAATCAAAACGCAGATGCGTTATCATCTCTCAGGACTAAGATGGAATGCCTCGTTGCCAGTAAAAAACGGTCTCCGGATCTCTACACTCACCATACGAAACACAACAGTATGTACGCTGGTATTCAGTGAGAGCGTGGTCCTTCCCCGATCGAGCCGATCCATTCGTGCTACAACCATAATATAGCTGCAGCGTGGCTCTACCGCGTATGAGGTGTTTTTATCGTGAAAAATCTATAGACACCTTCGGCTGAAGGGACAAAGGGAAAAGTTGCCATCCATGCCGCGGGATATCCGTAAGAAACGAAACCGGCGCCTCTCGATCGTTTGCACTCGATCGAGGGCACTTGCTTACCCCAGCACACCCACAATGCTAACACGATGTCTAACGACCACTTCTGCATCATTGTCATCCTCGGGGGCTATATTACTAGTTGTTCAGCCCATCTCGAGCACCCGCAATCCCAGAGGGCCTGTTTCTCGTAGAATTACGCAATTATCACCTGTACGGTCGCGAAGACAGCGTCTAGTCCCCCGAAAGAATGGTTAGAGACCGTTACCGACCGCCACTTGAGAACCTTTCTTCCCGATCGGTTGTCGGTACTTCTAAATAAATGACCGACTACTGTTAAACTTAATCGCAACTTCAGTTTTACTGAGCAGGGCAGGGCTACCTCGATTTCTTTGTCAGGTTGGCTTGTGATATTGTAGTAAAGTAGTATTTATTAATATGTATGTTAATTTTATTATTATTATTATTTTTATGTATTATTGTGGTATTTTAACAAATTATAGTTTAGTTTATTTAGATATTAGAATGTAAGTGTAACATAAAATGCACCACCTCCTACTGTTCTTAATTCCAGTTTCTCCTTAGCCCAAAGGTTGTCTGGAAGAGATCGCTCATTAGCGATAAGACCGCCTTATTGTACATACGTATATATTAAGTTTCCTCTGTAATGTATTTATTCATTGTTTAAGTGTGGTGTACAATAAAGTATATACTACTACTACTACTACTAAAGTCATATAGTTCTTATGTGGTTAAAGATGCTTTTTTTGCGCCCGAAGCAAATATGGTCAACCCTCCGGAAAGCGGGGGGAGTGAGGCGGTGAATGCTCATAGCATACCACGCAGCCGGATGCGTGGTTATGTGGAGACTTTTACCCACTAAACACCGCCTTTATGGATTGGCTTATCGATCTGACGAGAGATCTCTAAGCCGTATACGGACGCGACCCTCCTTGGCAAAAAGGAGGGCGCAATTAAAGATGCTTAAATAACTTATTACTTAGTGGGAAGATTGGTGATGGTATTTTGTACCTTCCAGGGATAAGGTTCGAGGTAGTAGCATTAGCGGATCCATCATCCTGACTTGTCCCGTTGGTATCGTAAGAGACGGGTTTGGAAAAGGCCAGAAACAAGTCATGACCTTCGTATCTTATCGCGAATATTTTTTTATTAACTTATTAAGAATTAAAATTTAGAAGTAAGAGAGACAAACGAGCACACAGTCCACCTAATGGTAAGTGGATGCTGTGGCCCAAAGATATTTTTATCTATTTTCAATGAAAAATCGGAATGCAGATGCCTTTTTAATCCGAAGAACAAAGATGGATTACCTTGCACACAGTAAAAAGAATATTACGTTCTCTACACATGTTAAAAACAACAGTACAATGTTGCCATTTCACGCTGGTATTCTTCTCGAGTGTGCTCGAACTAAAATATTCGTGCTACAACCTAACCACGCTGCAGCGTAGCTGTACCACGTAAAATAATCAAACCGGCGATGTTGGTTGATTTAATAAAACCGGCATCTTCAAGCTTCTAAGTTACGGGAGATCTATCTCGTACAGCGGTCGTCAGTCTCTGCCAAGATAAGCGCAACGTAACGACCCATATCCAATACACATACGTATAGTAATTACGGGCCAAAAAAGAGAAAAGAAAATTAAAGTTAAAATCCATCTTAGGCGCCTGCGAAACATGTAAAGGCAATTATTAGCCAGACGTATTTTTTCGCCTGGATTTGATCCAGAAAGCCTACTTTACTTCAGGCACAAGTGTGGAGTGGTTGTAAAATTGTCTTTAATAGCAAACGATTGGGTGGACCTGATTAAAAATAGAGACTTCTTCGCTACTATGGAAGGTGCCCATATCTATCAGACTGTATGGCGTAGTGAGTATGGACAGCTCTTTTTAAAGAATTGCGTCATTGAGCGCTTTTTTTAAATAGACCGATGTATATTCAGGTCTCTTATAACCAGCAGCCTCATATGACTCATAAAAAGAAGAAGAATATGTACTAGGAAGAGTCCCAGACACTTTTCCAATGCGAATTGACTGTTCTTTCTCTTAATAATTTCTTAAATTTACCCGAACACTACACATTTAATAAAACTAAGTAAAATCAGTTAAATAAACGCGATAAAATCCGTAAATTTAGTTTTATTCAATGTTATTTCTCTTCATCACCAGCTTGTCAAGTCAAGGCTCTGTTCCATTATGCCGAGGATTTGCTTAATTAATAAATATCCCCTATGAGGCAATCTAAGGGGAAGCTTACTTTGATAGACTGTAACGGTAATGGTATAAACGAGACGCTTACATCGCCATCTGTCGGAATCAATAGGATTTTTTGGCTTATCATAACATAGCCTCTACTCTTTCCACACCCACGGAACGGCAAGAAAAATGTCGATTTGGCTTACCAAATCATTTATATAAAAATTTTATATCGAGACCTGGTTGTCGTTATTTCTAAATCCAAAATTACATACATAAACACTCACGCCTGTCACCCAGAGGGGTAGGCAGAGAATACAGACTGCCATTTAGCACGATCCTGACATACCTCTCTCACCTCTTCCACATCCATATACCTACGCATACATATTATCTCGTCGGTTAAGGGTACTCTTAATTTGGCCCATTTTTAGTATATCGCCAATTTGGTCGACAAACTTCCGCCTAGGACGTCCCTCTCCGATTCTTCCATTCACTTCTGCAACTACTGCAAATATATTTGCTTTGTCAGTCTTTCCTCATTCATTCTTTCTACATGACCAAACCACCGAAGCATTCCTATTTTAATCCTAGTCACCGCATCATCTTGCAAACCACACTCTTCTTTTATCATACAGTTTCTCACCAGTCACTCAGATTCAGCCCTAAAATACTCCTTAGCCACCGCATTTCTACTGCATTTATTCTACTCTCGTGCTTCTTCTGCCACACCCAACTTTCACTACCATACGTTAAAGTAGGGACTAATACAGCATTGTGAAAAAATCCAAAATTAAATTTCATTAATGTTTTTTTTTCCAGAGATATCACTCTGGCAGCCCATAGCGCTTATGTGCGTCTATTACAGCCTACTTCCGGTCTGGGTTTTCATCGTGTGGAGGAACAAGTACACGAAGAAGGTGCTCACCACTGGCTGGACTCCAGTTATATCCGCGCTGTTCATTAGCGGGTATGTTAATGATATTTATGTAGTTATAAATACATAAATATATCATTTCTGCTATACTACACGCTGTAGCCTGATTCATAATCATTTGCCGGTATCAATCCTCAACTGCGTTTCTTTTTACAGAATAAGGGTTACAAATCATCATACAGTGATCTGATAGAGAGTGGATGGTGAGGACCATGGACTGGTTTTTTTCATTACTGGAAAAGAGGCATTCCATATTCGTCATCACGGCTGGCAACGCATCTGTATTTTGATTCGCAAACGAGGATAGATGTAGATGTCTATGGGCCACAGCAACCACTTAACATCAGGTGGACTGTGTGCTCGCTTGTCACCCTTATCTTATAAAAATAAATAGAAAAGCGGTATTACCACCTAGTGAAATATGGACACGGTAAAACACTATCCGTCTTACTTATAATCGTAACGCTTACTTAAATTAAGTATTCTGTTGGTATTAAGTGAAAATAGAGAGAGAGAGAGAGAGAGAGAGAGAGAGAGAGAGAGAGAGAGAGAGAGTGCATCTTGAAGCATTTCTTAAAGTGATGTTGGTTCTTTTATTTGAAACTATATTTTACACCTCGACGCAATGAACACAGATTGATAATTGGCCACTTAACGCCTTCATTATTAAATTATAACATCCTAATATTTGAATTTGCTACTTTTAATAGCTAATATACAAAAACTGTCGGAAAAATCTGTTTATTTTTTATTTAGAGGGCGTGACGACTCTTTTCGTGGCTAAGTTTTAGTGGGGATATGTACTAAATTTTTCTGTTGGTGTACTCATTGCGATATTCACAATTTTTCTTTACAGTATCGGTGGAATAGTCCTCGATCAGGCTGTGGAACATTATCCAGGGTACGAAGTGTTCCAGCCGATTGTAAATGGTATTGGCGGAAATCTCGTTTGCGTCCAATCATCGCGTCTTGCCACAAAGCTTCACCAAACGGCCATTCTTGGAATTTTGCCCGAGAACACGAGGATAGTGGAATGGCCTTGGAGGACACTGTTCTTTGGAAGTGAGTTTTTTTCTTTGTAACATAAAATCCTTTCTACTGCATTAGAAAGGATTTTATGTACTTAACTCTTAAGCAGAACCTAGACGGTAATGCGGCATGACATGCGCTACATGAATGATCATACTGCATGATGGACCTTCGTGCTTTATCATTAATCATTAATCATTTTATCGCATTTCGAAACAGCAAGCATAACAGTGAAGAGAATCTCTGTGCTGTTGTGGAAGTTTCGTTTCGCAAAATTTTAAGTGATAATGTCAAAAGGCAGATTAATTTCTTCTTAATACTTTTGGAAGACAAAATTTAATGAAATTTTTATTTATTTATTTATTCATTTTTTCTAGTTTTTATCCATAAATTTATATCTTTATTATTATTATTACTCTTTAAGAATCGATTTATATATAGGTACAGGGTTTTATACGTAGTAGAAGCATGCTGCAGCTATATTAATAGTATAATATATATAGTATATTATAAGTATAATTAGTAGTATATAATATATATAGCATATAGTTTGTAGCACGAATGGGTCGTCTCGACTGCAGAAGGACCACGCTCCCACAGAATACCAGCGTGAAATAGAATGTATTAATATGATGAGTGTAAAGAATCTGACACACTTTTTATTGGAAACGAGGCATTCCATCCTAGTCCTCACGATTGACAACGCATCTTCATTTTGATTCATAATCGAGGATAGATGTAGGTGTCTATGGACCACGGCAACCACTTACCATCAGGTGGACTTTGCTCGTTTGTCACTAAGGCCAAATTTGCAGAGAAGATTTAGAATAAGTTTAGTAATATAGGCGAATGGTGAAGAAAATTTAATTAAGAAAATCTCAAACATTCTGTCGTTTTTATCTTTAAATTCAACATTCGTGGTAATTTTAACTGATTGTCATTCATAAATATCTTACGTCTACTATTTTATTATGCACGCACTTTCAATCGATCGATTAGTAAAAATCGATCGAAAAATATCCTTTGTTATTTTAGAATAAAATAACAAACATGCACACAGCATGAATGTCCTTATGTACCCACTTCCAACTAAGATTTTGCTTGACTTGCCAATCCCAATAAAAATTTTAATAAACATACAAATAAAATAAACAATATATAAAAAATAAACAATATAAATTAAATAAATTACATTCGATTTAACATTATTATTATATATTCGAATTATTTTTATTATTATATTTATATTATATTATTATTTTTACAGCTGCCGCGGCAAAAGTGGCACGAATGTTGCTCGTGCTTGGAATGTGTGGACAGGTCATATTCATGATCGTCGCCGACTTCATGTACCAGGGCTTCGTCAGTCTCCAGTTTGCTTTTGGACTCACATACGTTATCTGTTCTATGCTACAGGTATGTGGATTCTTTAATAATTAGTATCCTTTTAAATAACTTACAAATAGGTGGATTGTCCCAATTTGATAGTATTTTTTTGTGTTAATGCTACAGATTGTAAATCAATTTTAATTATTCTTTTTATGGAAAGCACTATATATATATATAGAGGATGGCCCCATTTAAATAACCAGCCCATACAGCTAAAAAAATAGGGCATGAATTTTTTAATGTAAATATGAAAACATTAAAAATTCGAATTCGTACGTGGTAGAGTCACGCTGCAGCTATATTATGGTTGTAGCACGAATGGGTCGACTCGAGTGGAGAAGGACCACGCTCTCATAGAATACCAGCGTAAAATATCAATTTATAATACGGCTGTGTTTCGTATGGCGAGTGTAGAGATCCGAGTACCCTTTTTTTGGAAACGAGGCATTCTATCGCATCCTCAGAGGAGACAACGCTTCTGCTTTTTGATTCTCAATTGAGGATAAATGTAGATGTCTATGGGCCACAGCATCCACTTACCATCAGATGGAGTATGTGCTTTTCCTTTCTGTTTTGTTTACCCAACCTATAACTTAAGACAAAATTTCTGACAGATGGCTGGTATAAAGTATAAGATATCCTAGAATGTATATAAATATTTTTGATAAAATCAATATATTCTATATAGCGTATATATCAATATATTTTAAATTTTATATGTGGTAAAGCCATGCTGCAGTTATATTAGTAGTACAGTTGTAGCACGAATGGGTCGGCTCGACCGGGGAGGGATCACGCTCTCACAGAGTACCAGCGTGAAACATTAGCTTGATGCTGTTGTGTTTCGTATGGTGAGTGTAGAGAACCGGAGACCCTTTTTACTGGAAATGAGGCATTCCATCTTAGTCCTCACGGGTGACAACGCATCTTCATTTTGATTCGTAATCGAGGATGGATGCAGATGTCTATGGGCTACAGCAACCACTTACCATCAGGTGGACTGTGTGCTCGTTTGTCATCCTATCACATAAAAAAATAGCACAGTTTATATTGAGCATCACGAAGATACTGCCACCCATTTCCTTTTTCATTTACCTCTGCTGCTTGTGACGTGTGTTTTGATGCCACCACTATAAAACAAACTGCTATTGCCAATCCAAGCATGGCATCTATCAGTATAACAAATACGCCCCCTATAGGAGAGTCCTGTGCTTAGCAGTGGAAACGTGATTAGTTGTCTTGAAGCAATAAATGAAATCTACATAAATCATTCTCCTGGGCGCAGGCCTTCTGTTATTTCTCAGAGAACTTCACGCTGTCTCAATGCGTGTTGGCGGATTTCATTTACTACATAATATTACAATCAAAAGTGCAGTAAATGGGAATTTCGATGAAATAAATCTTCTTCTATGCTAATAGTTTTTGCTAGTAATTTTTATTTCAACTTAAAAACTTAAAACCTTTTACAACTTCAAATCTTTGTTTCAGGTCATGATGCTCCTGTATTTAGCTTATATGATGATCCATTTCATGTGGAAGAGGAAGAAGGATCCAGACAACGCGGCCATTCCATATTTGACGGCGTTAGGGGATCTATTAGGCTCAGTGTTCCTAGGTCTTGCCTTTGTAATACTCTCTATGTTTGGAATGCAATACGGTAACAATGTATCCGGTACTTAAATGTGCTAGTAAATTTTGAAACCGAAGTGTGTTTTCTGACTAGTTCGTGCTTTAGCTCTTTTAAAACTCGAGAGATTGCCGATCGTAAAAGCTCTGTAGGATCGTGATAATGGATTAAATCATACCAAAGGATATATGATTTCAACGGATAATAATGGTTTTTAACTTTTTATTTATAATATAAGTCTAATAAAAGAATAAAATGTACGCGAATTAACTTTGAAATCAATTATAGTGTTACCTTTTCAGTATTGTGTAGTGTTATATTTATTATCTATCGGTGCCAAGTAAACCCGGATGGTCTATTTGGACTTTGATAAGCATTCCTAGTTTTTATCGTCTTTTGTAAGTATTATCTTGAGGAACGCCAGGAGTCTACACTCCCATATGAGTGCAGCTCAAACTGTGATATACATTCCAAATAAAATGTGATTTAATGAAAATTACTTTAAACTTTTGACATGTATATGTCTTTCGTAGACAATAAATCTGTGGTTGATATTGGATTTGACTCTGATTTTACCCGATTTGAATTATTTCATTTGTGGTGTTTTTGATAATTTGCACATCGCTTACAACACGCGGTATTTATGATAATATTAAAAATATTGACATTTCATAGACTATACTAAGAGCCAACAGGTCAAATACGTTCCGTTCCATATATAGGTTTCGAAATGACTGAAATTATTTACCGTTTTTTTTCCGTGCCAGATAGGATATCAATAATGGTAGCATTTACGGATAATTTTGTAAATGGAGAATTTGCATACATACGGTATTTATATTATATTAAAAAACATCGTATCATCGTCGATAGTTGCTGTCTATGCTTCGAAGTTCGATATGTTTTTGATGTATCTATAATCATGGACAATTATAATACACAATCATAATATACCGTGAATTCAATAAGCCTTTGATCAAGAGTTTTTGTTTATACAATATATTGAATTGTTGGATCGATTGAAGGAAATGTACATAAAAAGTTGTATTTAGTGGAGTTTTAGAAGACTTGCCTTAAGTAAAATTTCTCGAACCGCGATTATCCGCTTCTTTTATATGTGCCTCTTCTCAGCATATGAGTGGATTTTTTTGAATTTGTGAGGCTGTGAGCATTGGGTGCGTTTGGCAGAAAAAAGCGCTAGCAAGCGCTTGTAAGCAAAATGGCGATCGTAAGCGGTAAGCGCTGTCAAATCGTAAGTAGCTATTTTCCTCCAGGACACGATGTTAGTTTTAACAGGGGAACCTAACCTGATTTAAATATATGTTTGTAAAGTATTCATATTAAAAACTTACCAATCATGATTTTTTTAATAACATTTTATTGCGTATATGTTTATTCTTGGCATTATATTACTCAAAACTAATATTGCACAAAACAACTTATAAACTCTACTTCAAAACAAACAAATTAAATAAGCAAAATGGCGGATTGTGTCACCGCTACTGAAGTAGCAATCGTGTCCTGGCCGAAAACTATTTCAGCGCTTGTCGGCGCTGCCAAACGCACCCATTGGTTTCGCACTTCAGCACGCCTATTTACATCTACCCGCTTTAAATAATCTAGTTTAGACTTGGGGTGATCAATTTTATACGTATTAAATAATATTAGTTTCCAATTAAAATATTCACACTATTCACAATACTTTTTGTAGTTATGCTGGGTATCACAGTTCCCGTAATGATTTCTTATATTTTTTGCGCGAACTACACATTAAATAAAAAATGTTAACGGATTTTATTGCGTATTAATTTTTAATCCGCCGTTGTATTATTCACACTTACCATAAAAATTTTCAAAGCTAATTCGTCACCGGTTCAGATAAATGAATGTCGACTGTACCTCGGTGTTTTTGGCAGCGATATATCAAACAATGAAAAACGTTCATAGGCTGACACGGGCTTAGTTATAACGCTTAGTTTTAGCAGTGTGTGTAGCAAAGAGTACAATAAAGCCATTTAGTGTTAAGAGGCCTAAAGTAATTTATTATCACATTAGTTTAGTTCTGAATGATGTTCAACAAATATAGTAATTCTAAGTAGTAACATAATATCTGTTCTGTTAAACGGTTTAAAAAACAGAACAGATATTTAAAAAAATCACAGGATATGCGAAATATCCATAACATACATTTACACTGGCTGGCATATAAAAGTTAAAAAAATATAACCTACCAGTGACATATTTCATTTTAAATGTGCTTAATGTATGTATGTTTAACTTTCCTTCCCTACAAGGTGATCAATCTATGGAGGAGGCTTATGTTCAGCAGTGACTTTTGATAGGATGTTAAAAAAAATGAATTAAAAAGTTAGCCATATTGTTTTGAAGTTTTGGTTGTTATAAAAAATACTCTCTCTGACGTGAAATTTCACACATAAGCCTCTCCCATTGTAGGAAATATCTTCTATTATCGCTAAGTCTGGCATACTATTTGGAAATCATAATACCAGATATCTCGCTCTCTTGACGCTTCTCGTACTCGCTGGTGAATATATTTTACATCTAGCATATACAAGCCGAGTGACGTAACAGTATCTATCTCTCCATATCGTGGGTGTCATAAGAGATGACTATGGAAAATGTCTGAAAGATCTCATGGCATCCGATAGATGGCAGTATAACCATCTAGTTTGAGCCAGACTTTAAATTCTCAAACATGTAAGCAACACCATAGATGCGAGGCGTCTTGTGCTATGAGTACCAAGCCCAGCAGTGGACTTTAACAGGCTGTTAAATGTTAGTGTACTACTATCTATACAAGAGCACTACACAAACACAGACACAGTCTTTGTGATCTTTCCCATGATTCCCTCTTACGACGCTAACGGAATCAATTGGGTAGAAAATAATGGAAAATGTAATGATATGCGCAATCGTTTTAAGGTTTCACTTTTATTTAAATAGATAAATATTATTTAAAACAATGTATGGAAATATCATGATTTGGGAAATAAAAAACTACGACAAATTAAAAAATACTAGCGCAGTCAATTAAAATTATTTTTTTCAACTATTTTAATCAAAAAATAGTTTAATTTATTTCTACTACACCAGTATTTATAAATTTAATTTGTGACTTCATAACTAAAGATGTATAAAATGAATATCGTTGGTCTTATCAAGGCTCCCTAGGCATTCTTAATTGACAGACGAGGCCCGTTTAAACTGATTTATAATTTCGAGTATTGAAGAAGCTTCTTTGTCATGAAAGAAAACCTTTAGTCGTCTTCGCAAAAATTCCATACTTTACATTTTAATTCGCGCCTTCTCCAAGGGTCTGTTTATAGAAACTGACTCTTGTTTAATCCAGATACAATTTATAAACTCTTTTTTGTAATAAGACAGATTACGTTTAACGTTTTATATATAAAACTTGTTTGCCTCGTTGATCTAGTGACTGTCAACCTGACTGATGATCATGAAGTCCTGGGTTCAAATCCCAAATCGAGCCACAATTAGTTATTGGGTGTGTTTCTGTCAAGAAATTCTCAGTAACTCGTGCACTATAATCTTGTGCTGCGCAGATGGCTAGTCTCTATTAAGACTGGTCAGAGGAGAGGATACTATACAAAAATCATTAGGTATATCTACTTGAAATTTGCCGTTGATTCCCAAAGATATCATAAGAGAATAGAAGTTGTTGTTATCTAAATGTGAACAATATTAACTACTTATAGAATTAAATTCCAAATACGTCACAAAATATGTAACCATATAGATTTAGATTAGGGATATTTCTGAATGAATGATGTGATATAAATGATATTTTAAAGTATAGAGAACTGTTATGTAGTTTGTAGGCAAACCTCAAATCACTGTTGTGCTTATTCGTTTGACTTTCGCCTTTTAAGCTGTGGCTCGATTACTGAGATTACTCAGACCAAAAAAATAATAGACGGAGCGCTACGCTGCGTTCATTGCAAGTGATGGAATTCATGCTTAATATTTGGATATCTTAGTTCTTTCTTTCTCTGTCAACTCATAAAAATTCACAGCTAGAAACTCTTGCATCTAAAACCTTGCTGTTGGTTGAAAATGATTTTAGATGCATATGTGTACTTGAGTGCGTGTTCTTACAACTTTTTGCTTAGTTTGCGTGTCATTTGAAATGTTTGCAGCGTTTCGTCTTTCTTCATTTTTTGGTCTTAGCTAATTATAATTTTTCTTTATACCTTGTATAGACATCACAATCTCATCAAAAGTAACAATGTCGTTAATAACATGTATTTCAACATGCAAGACTTCTACTTATGTAAAAGTCTTGCATTTGTTTTCAATTAAATATAAAAAAGCTTCCATACGATTCTGATAGGTTTTCTATTTATTTTAATTTTGTTGCAATAACACAAAGAACAAGTTGTCATCAATTTAATACGTCTTAAGGCGTCTGTGATTAGTGGAGATATTCAGTCCCCGTTTTATTATAGTGTTATACGTAACGCATTAAATCAATTAGGAATTTAAAGTTGTATAACTAATAACTATGTAAGTATCTAAAAATTGAAAATGTTATTACAGTATAGGAAAAAAGTACCCTATAAATATCTTACATCAGAGCACAGACTTCTCTAATTATTGATAGAGAATGAACCATAGAAGAGTAGCCCATACTTTTTCTATTCTTCATAATACCTCCTCAGGTATACCCATCATACATTTTTCCACCGCTGGACTGTTATTTTTGCAAGGTAAAAATGTCTACTAATAATAAGCGTTACATCCAAATGCTTTATTTAAGAATGAACGCAGTTTATGAAGATTTTACTTTTGTCGAGCCTTAGCTTAATAGCCCTTACGAAATTATTTTTTTTATAAAGTTTACAAAGACGTTGTTCAATTCTAATAGATTGAAATAGATTAATTTATTGTTTATTTTGGTTATTTTTAAATTACTTTCATTAATTTCCTTCCTATCCGCGTCTAATATAATCTTTTTTATTTCTTATGCTCTAGGTATAAATGTAAGAAGTGTTTTATTTATTTTTAAATATAA